AATATTTTATGTTAAGGGAACCACCCCCCCTTCTCGATTTTAATTTTTTAAGACTTTCAAAGGGCTAGTAATTCAATACCAATGCTCGTTAAGGTTTGTAACTTTGCATATATATCGAGCCATATTCGCCAAAAAACGTAACCCTCAATTTGAAATTTTACAGGAGAAGGTTTGGTTTTAGTAAATTCAGATTTAATAGAGCTATTATTTTGAAATTTAGAACTATCGTTTTGTTACAAACTAGTATTGTTTTAAGCTATAATTCAAAATTTCAAAATAATAGCTTTTTTAAATCTGAATTTATTAAAACAAAACCTTCTCCTGTAAAATTTCAAATTGAGGGTTACGTTTTTTTTTTTTGGCGAATATGGCACGATATATTTGAAGATTTAAAATAGAGGAAAAATAATTTACAAAAAAATTTTGTTATTGTTTTGTTGTTGTTTTTTGTAATTAAAGAAAAGTCCTTATTTTTGATGGCGGGCATGATAACTCCTCACTGGAACATCGGAATCCGAAAATTCCAACGGTACACGTCTGGCTCTCGTATGAACTAGGATTATTGACTTCGCTCTAAAATTAACAAAATGGTGGACCTTTGAAAAAATATTTTTGGAAAATCGGCGATTTTTTACCAAAAACCAAGTTAAAAAATAAGGAAGATCTTTACCGATTGGCTTTATCCTAGTTCATACGATAGCTATACACTCACAGAGAAACGTGTAAAAATTTGAAATGGATTGGGTTATTAGTTTTTGAGTAATCGTGCCCGCCATTCACAAAAAAAAATTTTAGAGAAAAACGCGTTTTAAGTTTGAGAAGCCCTTCAGCCGTCACTTGATGCTGACTCAATAAATCGGCTATATCTTCAAGAGTTCTTGAGATTTTCACTTGAAATTTTGTAGGGACATTCATTAATTAGTGTAGATTCGAATTATATCAAATCTATATCAAAGGCTCCTTCATTAGCAAAATTTTGTCTCAATCAAACAAACATTGGGGTTTGGTGTACCATTTACATAGAATCGGACGAAACTATATATGGGAGCTATATGTAAATCTGAACCGATTTTAACAGAACTTCATTGTGTCAACCTGTATTATTTTCAATACGCAACGCAAAATTTTGTCCCGATCGGACCAATATTGGCAATATGGAGCTCCATTTACATAAAATTATGTTATGTGGGAGTGTGAACCGATCCCAACAAAACTTGGCATGCATCAATATAGACCTAATTCAGTTCTCTGCGCAAAATGTTGTCTCAATCGGACCAATATTTGCAGTAGGGTGCTCCATTTACATAAAATCTGACGAAACTATATATGGGAGCTATATCTAAATCTGAACCGATTTCAACAAAACTTGGCATATACCAATCTAGACCTAATTCCATAATCTGTGCATAATTTTGTCTCAATCGGACAAATATTGACAGTTTGGTGCACCACTTACATAAAATCGGACGAAACACTTAGCATACACCAATCTGTACCTAGCAATCTGTGCAAAATGTTGTCTAAATCGGACCAATATTGGGAGTTTGATACACCATTAACTTAAAATCCGACGATGCTATATATGAGAGCTGTATCGCAATCTGAACCAATTTCAATAAAACTTAGCATACATCAATCTGGACCTACTTCAGTAAGCTGTGCAAAATTTTATCTCAATTGGACAAATATTGACAGTTTGGTGCACCATTTACATAAAATCAGACGAAACTATATATGGGAGCTATATCTAAATCTGAACCGATTTTCTCCAATTTCGTCCTTGGGCCAAATAAGTGACATGTGCCAAATTTCATCCAAATCGGATCATAAATCCGACATAAATGTTCACAAAAATACATACAGAATGTGATTCTTCATATTCTCAAAAGGAACCATGGGTCTATCTCGTTTCCTTTTGCCTGTTACAAACATATGCACAAAGACATAATACCCTGTACCACGGGGTATAAATAGTACTAGTGTGGTGTATACTTTTAGGCGGCGGTAATGATTTAATATCCTTAGTTATTCTAAACAATTAAGAATATTGTTGAAATTAATATAAAATTCCACATAGGGCCCATATAGTTTCATTGAAAAAAAAATCAAAAAGAAAAATTAAATTAAAACATTTTTATGTGTACATGTAAAATTCGTAAATAGATGCATACTTTTAGCCGGCCACATTTTTTATTTGCTTTTAAAAATAAATATGTATAATATGAATCGGCTTATGTGTGTTGGTTCCATATTCCCAAAAATGTTCAAAATGGTGGTGCATACTTTTAGGCAAACATACGTTTCTATTGCAACAAATTCCCAGGGCCTGAGAGCTAATGTGTTTAATCAAGAAAAATATTTATTAACTGCTGCATTTAAGCGGTCACATTTCTTCTCAAGAGAAAAAAATCCTGACAGCTATTATTTTTCTTCAAAGAATATTTTAGGCGGTCAGATGTTTTTCTCAATTCAAATCTGAGGACTTGTTTTTATCTAAAAAATAATTTACAAAAAATCTAGGAGCCTGACAGCAATTATTTTTCATCAAAGAATATTTTTTAGGCGGCCAGATTTTTTTCTCAATAGAAAAAAACAATATAGGAAAAGAATTTCATTCAAACCTGAGGACTTGTTTTTATCTAAAAAAATAATAATTTACAAACAGATGCTTTTGTTTAGGCGGCCAAATTTTTTTCTTAATAATCATACAAAAATTAATCTGTGGATCCATTTCTAAACGACCATAAGGTCCTGGTGCTCAATTAATAGGTAATATAATTTCAAAAATAGTATTCATCTATATCTAAATGTATGTGTCCGCTTATATGCATGTGTGTCTATATATTCAAACATTTTCTGGTGCATACTTTTAGGCGACCATACGTTCAATTTGCATAGGAAAAAAGCAAATCTTCAGTGGAATAAATTTCGTAAGGTTGGAAGAATATTTTTTTCCTCGAAAACAAATCCCTGAGACAATTTTTTCTAAAGAAAAAATCCCCACATCTTGTAGACTACTTCTTCTATGGAAGGCGGTCACATTTTTTTCCCCCAATAGAAAACAATTATAGAAACTTGAGGGCTGTGTATTTTTAGAGAAAAGTCTAATATATGTTTTCTTCAAAACAATCCTCTTTTAAGAATGTCCACCTTTTCTATAAATGTCTACCTACTCTATACTTTTTAGAGAAAAAATCGCCAGGACTAAGAACTACTTATTTATAAAAATCGTCAGGCCCACACAACTAATTGTGCAGGACATGAGAACAACTTTCTAAACAAAATGATTAGATCTTAAGAAAAAGGAACTTGCTCAAGGACTGAAGGCTATTTTTTATTTTTAGAGAAAAAAAATCGTCGGAATTCTTACTACTTTTCATAAAAAATACACAGCCGGAGGACTAGTTTTTCTTTATAGAAAAAATTTCTCAGAAATCATACATATTTGCTTAAACATTCCTCGGGATTGAGGTGACTTTTTTTTTATAAAAAAAGTAAAAAGTCCTATTTTTGTTTATAGAAAAAAAATCTCGCATCTTGTAAACATTATTTTTAGAGAAAAAATTCCCATTTTTTCGAAAATAAAAAAGATTTTGTTCTTTTTAAAAAACTCGGACCTGAGAATTATTATAATTCGGGGCCTAAGAACAATTTTTTTAACATAAAACTATTCTAAGATATTTCAGAGAATCTGAACTATTTGCTTTATTTGAAAAAAAAACGTCCAGTCTAATAGCTTATTTTTGTATAAAAAATACCCAGACCCTGAGATCTACTCGTTTTCTTAGAAAAAATATTTCTTTACATCATGAAGCCGTGAGTTCATTTTTTAAGAACAGAAAGTTCGAGTCTGAGAACTTTCTGTAAAATATCCTCAGGGTGTGAGGGCATTTTTTTTTACAGAAAATATTATTTTATAAAAACAAAAAACAAATGAATCTCATGCGAATCATCGCGCAGGAGCAAAATGGTTCGGCAAATAATTCACCAATTAAAAAGAAAAATCATCATCGAAAAAAGGACAGAAAATATACTGTCTAGAGCCAATGGAATTTTGTCTATAGAAAGAAATGTTTTTAGGTACATCGACTTTTTTCTATAGAACAAATGGGAACATTTTACAAATTATCCGATACCCTTCCAATGTAGCAAGTGTAATTTTTACATTTAACCCATTTTTAATTTTTAACGGTACGATCGTGATGCTATGCATAAATATGTTATTTAAAATTTCAAATATGATCCGCACCCTGTCTTTAATTTCAATAACTCTCTCTCAGTTTACGTTTTTTCAAATTGTTTGTTGTTTTTGTTTTGCTGATGCCTTTTCGTTGAACTTTAAATCCCAGACCAAAACAAAAAAATATTTCACTCGCAACTTGCAAATATTATCATTAATAACCAGAAATGTGTTGAAGCAACAACCTGTCGTGTTTTGTTTTGTTATTTGTTACTGCTATTATTAACGCGAATACGGAATTTACACAAATTTTTATTAGTCATCATCTATCTCTTTGGGTCGTAAATTGTGAAGACAGTTTGGTGGTCATCGAAAAAATGTCGGTTTAATTTTTGAGGACAGAGATTTTATTAAAAAAAACGTAAAGTGAAAAAAAAAGAAATCTATTTCAAGCCTGACATCATCTGTCCATACAGCCATGGGGAAAAAGAAACGTAAATCACGCAAAAAGTTCGTTCGTTTCGTCATGTTGTAATTATTGTAAAAATCTCAGCATGTCAATATAAAATTTTTGTTTTGCTCTAATTTTGTGTGTGTTTGTATTTTCTGTTTAGCGGAATAGAGTTCCGCTTCATACAGTTAAAGAGTGACGTCAGTAAAGATCAAAGCACTCAACACAATTTCAATTCATTCATTCATTCATTCATTTATTTTTTTATTTCGACATTCATTCAGTGTCACGTAAACAAAGTCTGGCTCAGAAAACATTCTTGAACGCTTTTTTCTCATTCTCTCTTTTTGTGTTTTGTTTTCATTGCAGAGAACCCGATGTTTCATTACTGGATGGTCCTTCGACTTCTGGTATTGCCAGCATAGCTTGTGCCACAGCGGTTGGAAGTTCCGCAGCCGTTATAGCCAAAAACTCCACTTCAACATTTCCGTCCAATGAGGGAGCCACAGCAGCCGCTGAATGTTTAACGGATGCCTCAACAAGTGATTCATCACAACAACAACAACAAGACAACAATAATCAAACATCTCCCACAACCCCGAATAGTACCGCATCAACAGCTCAGCTAATATCACCGCCATTATCGCCTTTAATCCATACGGATCAATTCGAACAAATTGACTCAGATACCGAATCATCCAATATGCCGGCAAAATCTCATCAACCAATACCGGTCATAGTTACCACCACAACAACGGCTCAAATAATGGATGTAAGTTCCACAAATTCCGTCTTTTTTGCTCTATTACTAATCGTATTTTTTTTCTCTCCTTTTTCCAGGAAAATCGCTATTCCATATTGGGCAAAGACATAACCACAAATGAATTTGATATTTATACATTGCCATCACCGCCCAACAAAGATGCCACCCACAATTCCATAGAGAATTTGAATAGTTCGTCTGGTACGACAGCATCACAAAAATCGCCATCAGGATCTCCAATACATAAAAAAGAGTCTATTATAACAACAACAGCAATAACAAATGAATCTCATAATGCGAATAATCATGCACCACAACAGCAGGAGCAAAATGGTTCTGTAAATAGTTCACCAATTAAAAAGAAACATCATCATCGAAATCATAATAATAATCAGGTAAGAAATTAGAGGACATAAGCCAACCTTTTTGATAGGATGGATAGCTTTGATAGGATAGCTTTTAAAGAACTCTTATATACATATTAGACTTTCTAAAGACCATCCGCAGGCTGAAGATCTATTAATAGCCTTTAAAAACAGTATACTTTCTTAAGGCATTTAGAAGACAGATGATCTTCCAAAGGCAGATGACCTCTCGAAGGTCGTCCATAAACATAAAGAGTCCTAAATACTCTTGAATTTTTATTTATTTATTACTCAATACCAAAGTTCGAAGACCTTATTTAGCATATTTTAAGTATATTTTATTTAAAAGAATTTCTAAAAATTTGTTTGACCTTTTAAAGGTTCTCTATAGACAAAAGACCTTCCAAAGGACTTCGATGGACATAATTGATTATAGAAATTATATAGGGAGTCTTTATATACGAGCTGAAGCTGGGAGTCTTTATAGACGAGCTGAAGCTGGGAGTCTTTATAGACGAGCTGAAGTCGGGAGTCTTTATAGGCGAGTTGAACGGCAGTCTTTACAAACGAGCTGAACGGGAGTTTTTTGGTAGACGAGTCTTTATAGACGAGCTGAATCTGCAGATGACGAGCTGAAGAGAGTCTCTATAGACGTCTTTATAAACATAGGGTGATGTAGGTTGTCTTTTAGACGAGCTGTAGGGGCGCCTATAGACGAGATGTTTTGTTGCCTAGGTGGACGACGCAGTGCTACTGATTTCCGGTAAATTTCCGTCAAGCATTTCGAAGCTTATACAAAAAGCCTTATAGACGCTGTCACGTTGGGCAAAGACTAACGGCCTTGACGTTGATTCAACAAAAACAGAACTGGTAATGTTCACTAGGAATCTTAGCTCGGCCTCTTTGTTCCACCAACACTGGATGGGGTGCAGCTTCAGCTGGTAAACAAAAACAGAACTGGCAATGTTCACTAGGAATCTTAGCTCTGCCTCTTTGCTCCACCAACCATGGCGTACAACGCTGTTGTTGTACTGTGTTGCTTACGGAATCCATGTTGATGATCCGCAACTGGATAGCTTTCTCTAATGCTGGGGAGGAGTAAAGCCTCAAGGGTCTTCGCTACTGGCGACAAAAGTGAAATCGGCCTGTAAGATTCACCTTTGCTGGCATCCTTGCCCAGCTTCAGTAGCGGGACCACCCTGCCCATTGTCCAGGCTTCGGAGACGACGTGGGTGGCTATCGACAAGTTGAGGACGTTGTGCAAGTACTCGACTCCTGGCTCGTCCAGCTGCTTTAGCATACACTTAGATATTCCGTCAGGGCCCAACGTTTTAGATGTCTTCACGTTACGGATGACACATGCAACATCACCCATCGTAAACTGTGGTAGTACCTCCTCGGCTGGAAGAGACTTTATACGACAAAGTATTCTTCTCTTCGCCCTGTCGCTCTCGGGATGCTCGACAAACTGTCGGTTAAAATAACTTGCGCATCTCTTGGGATCAGTCACAGTTTCGTTGTTACCAGGTTTTTATCCTTCTTACCAGGGTTCGAGAGCGACTAACCGTTGCCCACAGCTTACTTACTCCGGTACCAATGTTGAAACTCTTCAGGTGCTCCAGCCATTTATTCCTCTTGTGCTCCGCAACTAATCTGTTGACCTCCAACGTAAGTTCCCTGACCCTGGGATCTGCTGGGTTAGATCGACGGAGCTCATCACGCTCGTTTGCTAGACCAACTGCTTCTGCTGGGAAATTAGTTCTCATTTCTGGTATTCGACTAGCAGGTTAGGTTAGGTTAGGTTTGGGATGTACGGCTGTTGTAACAACCGTCCACTCGGAGACTATGTCCATTGTGATCATCCATTATTTATAGGTGTACCTATAAAGAGAAAGAAGAAAAGATAGTGGAAGAGTAGAGAGAGAGGTAGTCAGAATAGGAGGGAGCGGAAGCGGAAGAGACATTATTTTAGCCAAGTCAATTTTTTGACAAAGCCTAGAATTAGGTTAGGGTCTATTTTGGAGAAGAAGACTAGATTATCAATTTCATAACATCCAAACTGTTTATGTCTTCTGCTGATCAGCGATGGACATTTGCAAAGGATGTGCTCAATTGTTTCCACTTCTTCTTCATTCTCACATAGACGACAGTAATCCTCTCCACTGGAGTCCCACTTAGAAGTGAGAGATCTGACTTTGCAGTGACCAGTAATGATCCCCACAACGATCTTAATCTCCCTCTTGTTGTGATCCAGCAGCGAAGACGTTCTTTTATGAGAGAATTCTGGCCAGATAGATTTAGAGATTCTGCATGCAGGTTCCCTTAGCCATCTGTTGCCGACTACCTCACAATAGAACGCGCGGATTCTGCCAATGAAATAGCTAATAGGGGGTTTCACAGATCTCTCAATCAGAAGACTGGACGACTGTGACCCCCCTCGAGCAAGCTCGTCGGCTATCTCATTCCCTTCAATATCGTTATGTCCTGGAACCCAGCATAACCCAACTATTTGACGTATATCATTCAGAGCGGTCTTACAATCATGAACTGCTTTCGAGTTTATAGTATGCGACTTCACCGCTTTCAGGGCCGCCTGACTATCTACGTAAATAGTCACCGGTCCTGTAAAGTCTGTATTAAGTGCTTTTACTATCTCGGCCGCTTTCGTGATTGCAAGAATCTCTGCTTGAAAAACGCTACAATCATTGTTGAGTTTATATGAGTTTCGTATACCTAATTCCCTGCAGTAGACGCCTGCGCCAGTGCCTTCTTCCATCTTGGACCCGTCTGTGAAGATTGACAGACCTGGCAGAGGTAGGGAGCCACTAGTCCAGGATTCCCTGTTAGGAAATTCGACTTTAATGTCATTAAAATCCCTGTGGGGGGGAATATAATCACTGATATGACTATCCCCCCTAAAAAGGTCATTACTTGGCGTTATGTTTAGAATGCTGGCATGACCATAGTTCCGCGATTTCAAGGCATCTGTTTCCCGGAGTCTCAGGGCACACCTAGCAGCCTGGAATTTGATCAGAATGTCCAATGGTTGGAGATTCAAGATTGCGTTCAAGGCTGCTTGTGGTGTGCTTCTTAATGCTCCAGTGATCAGAATTGAAGCCGATCGCTGTACTAAGCTCAGTCTTGTCAGCAGCTTCTTTTTATTCACCCCCTGCCACCAGACAAGACATCCATAGGTAAGTATGGGTAAGACAATCGTCGTATACAGCCAGTGTATAATTCCGGGTCTCAATCCCCAACTCTTGCCTATGGAGTTCTTGCATGAATAGAGTGCCATCAATCCCTTCTTAGAGCGTTCCTCGACATTCCTATTCCACAGTAACTTGCGGTCTAGGACAGTGCCAAGATATTTAGCTTCATCAGAGAGGGTTAATGTCACTCCACCAAGTGATGGCAGACGGAAACTAGGAACTTTGTATTTCCTAGTGAAGAGTACCAGTTCGGTTTTTGTGGGGTTTACACCAAGACCTTTGGTGCAAGCCCAATTTGACAGGGTTGAAAGAGCACCCTCCAGGATGTCTGATATTGTCGTAATAAACTTACCCCCAACCAACAAGACTACATCATCGGCATAGGCTACAACCTTTATCCTGAGATGATTGAATTTCATAAGTATCTCATTTATCACCAGAAGCCACAAAAGGGGGGAAAGAACTCCACCCTGAGGTGTGCCTCTGTTGACAGATTTCCTCACGGAACTCTCTCCTAGGGATGAGTTGATAATTCTGCTTTCCAGCATTCTATCAATCCATTCCGTAAGGAGTGAGGGGATACCTATGTCTACGAGAGCAGAATGGATTGCCTCTAGCTTCACATTGTTGAAAGCTCCTTCGATGTCGAGGAATGCTGCCAACGTGTAGCCAGAGGACTCCATATTCTTCTCGATGTATCCAACCACCTCATGCAGAGCTGTATCCACTGATCTGCCCTTGATATAGGCATGTTGGGATTTACTAAGTTTATTACGGTCAATGGTATCTCTAATTTCTGAGTCTAGTAACCTTTCTAAAGTTTTTAGTAGAAAGGAAGAAAGACTAATCGGTCTATAGTCTTTAGGTACCGTATGACTCGGCTTCCCGGCTTTCGGGATGAAGGTCACGGTAACCTCTTTCCATAGACTGGGTATGTACGACAAAAGTAAACAAGCCCTAAAAATGTCCTGCAGATATGATATTATCCGTTCATCTGCGTGTTGCAGCATGGCCGGTGTTATACCATCTGGACCAGGAGATTTGTAGGGTTGAAAACTATTTATCGCCCATATCATTTTTGGGTATCTTATAGTGTCTTCTATCATCTTCTCCTCTTCCCTCGTCCGAACTGTAGGCTGATGCACACACTGCGCATCTTCCCTATAGTCCTTACAACCAGGAAAGTGGGTTGATGATAGAAGATCAAGAGTCTCACTGCCAGAGTTTGTCCACGTTCCATCACTTCGCTTAATACTTCCTATGGATTTTGGATCCTTAGAGAGTACTCTGCGGAATCTGGCCGCTTCGTTGACTCCTTCGATCGACTCGCTATAGCAGACCCAAGACTCACGTTTAGCTTTCTTGATTTCGCCCTTGTACTTATTGAATTGTCTTTTATAGACATCCCAATCTGTACTGAGCTTTGTCTTACTAGCTCTATTATAAGCTTTCCTTGCAGCCTTCCGCAAGGTTGCAAGGTCCTGTGACCACCATACCGGCTGAGATTTCTTCCCAGGGTATGTCAGGGGACAAGATGCCTCATAGCTCTTCAGAAGAGTGGCCGTGACATTTTTCACAGCTAATTCAACATCCTCAACCGTTTTGAGATCATTACGATCCCGAAAAGAGGCTGCTGTTTTAGCTTTGAATTTGTCCCAGTTCGTCTTCCGAGGATTCCTATAAGGTTTCTGTTTAACTCTAGAGGTAGGAATCTGGAAGGATATGAGTCTATGATCCGAAAAGGAACATTTCTCAGACACCTCCCAGTTTACGACCCCAGAGTCGTCCATATTTGTGAGGGTTATATCGATGACTTCACCT